TTTCAAATTAGAGAAAATAACATGAAAAAGCCTTCATTCTCATGCAAATAAACAACAATATTAATATCAAGGCATATCTGCAAGGTTTTTTTTTTTCTTCTCTCTGTTATCATTTTTATGATATTTTATCTTATTGTCTTTCTTGTTTTTTTTTCATCCACACTTTATTGTAATTTAACTCAAGATCCTATAAAGGATACGATATCAATAAAGTTTATTATTATTATTATTATTATTATTATTATTATTATTATTATTATTATTATTATTATTATTATTATTATTATTATTCTAAACCTGGTATTTTACATCACACCATGACATGCTTAACACAAATCATAAATCCCATATAAAAACAAAACAACAAAATAATAATTCTGGTAAATTTCTGGTGCGTTTTTTTTTTTTTTGGGGGGGGGGGGGGGTAATGACAAATATAAAAAAATTCAATAAATTTGACAACTGTCTTTGTTTCCTGATTTCAAAAGGAAATTGTTTTTTTACAATCGTGACTTCAATAAAACACAGCAGTCAAAGAGGGCATACTTAATGAATTTAAATACAACTACAAACTCAAGGGTCAACGCACACGTTGACCAAAATACAACTTTGTTTGGCCTTAACACCTCACACATACTTCACATGCATCTTTCATAGCAACTAAGTTTGAGTCAATATCAGTAAGAGTCAATATTATCTCTCAATTTAAATTTCCCCCTAATAATGCAACCATAGTAACCATACAATTTTCTGAATCTGTTAATTGCGAATAAAAATATCCAGTATAGATTGAGTTATTTTCTTGTAGACATGCATTAATGTATTCTAAGCACACCAATATATCTGTGGTAGACAATCTAATAGGTATGAAGTAACATCAAACCTTCGTATATTATCAATTCCTCATTGTTGCCATAGCTACACATCTCAGTCTCTTCTCAAATCAAATAAAAGATAAAATAAAGAAAAAAAAACAGATATTATACAGTGAAATTTATGGAGGCATAAATGTTTTTTATATAAAATATTTACAAAAGTTTTTATAATTCTCAAATGATGGTTGAAAACTTGTATGGCATTGATTGAAGGAATCTGCAAGGAACCTTGAGTAATTGGTGAAAACCAAATGGATTCTATAACCAATGAAAGTGTATTCTCTGGACTGAATGTAGTGTGAGCATCTTACATGGTAAATCTGTATAAACATTTTAGAAATTTAAAAAAAAAAAAAAAATATTCATAAAATTCTATGCCTTCATAAAATTAACTATAAACTAAAAATAAAATTACTGCAAAACTATTTTAACACAGAATTGATAAACAACCATTTTCTTTTTGTGGAAAAATTACATTAAAAAAATGATTTGGAAAGAGTACAGAATGGTTTTGATTTTTGTAGTGCTTCATTGGATGAATGTAAGGGGAGAAACAACCTAACTTATCTTGTTGTAATATGTTAACTATTAAAGTGACAACAATATTTTTTTCAGAATAGAAAACAGAACACTTTATTTTCTGTTCTTTCCTTGAGAAGGTCTGAGCCAAAGAGTTTATTTATGATACCAAAATATCAAAGATGAAAATAATTGCCAATATTACACTGGTTTCCATAGTAAGATTATTTCTTTATATTTCAAAATTTGGGTCGGTGACATAGGATGAAAAAATCTGATTATAGATATGAATCCTGATTTTGTTAAAACATTTTAAAAAATTGACATAATTCAGTCAGTTTGTAGCATGATAGGCTCCGACTATATAGTGGGAATTTTTCTCCCATCATGCAATGCATAATAAATTTAATTGTTCAATTCAGCTAAAATAATAATAATTAAAAATATTTAATTAATTTAATAATTAAAAATATTTAATTAATTTAATAATTAAAAATCCGCCTTTTTTAAATAAATAAATAAATAAACGAATAAATATAATTACCTGAATCAAAATTCTCATCTATTCTCTCATAAATACGACCAGCTTTTATAAGATTCTTCATTTTAACTGTAAATATGATAATTTTCACAGGTGACCAGTAATTTGGTAGAATTCCAGAAAATATATAGTTTGCAGTCTCATATACACATCATTTTAGTTATTTATATATAAATCCAAGGACGAGATGATTTTTTTTTTCTTTAACAAGCATAATGGTGGATGATGACGATCTACTGATGAATGGAGGCTGTTTCCATGGTTATGGGCTTCAACTGATGAGGTGATATACTGGAGAAGAAATAGAAATTCAAAATTTAGTTGATAAATTCCAGTTAATGAAGCAATAGCAATGAGTAAATTGTAACTTATTTGGCTTCAATCTCATCCTTTGTATCTGATAATACCTTATAATTTCACTGAGAAAGGCATGGGGACATGCAAAAGAGTCTTAAAAGTTTTTTATAGTATATGTATATGATTTCTTATGTAAAAGTAAAACAGTCTTATTTACTATCAATTATCAATTAAAAAAATAACTTATTTTAGTGTCTTTTTTACAACTGAAATTGTCAGCAGTCGGCCATCTTTGATCAGATGACAAAATTATTGCATGTGTATGTAGGAAATATATGTTTATAATATTATTTGTTAAGAACAAAATGGCCATAAGTCGGCCATTTTGAGTCAAATTTTCAAATCAAAGAGGTGTGCATCAACTAAGCATAATGGTTAATCCTTCCACCACATTTGAAGTAAATCAGCCAACACATGCCCCTGATCTGGTTTTGGACATTTTTTTAACGACTAAATGTCAGCAGTTGGCCATCTTTGATCCATTGACAAAATTATATCATACAAGCATTTTACGCCATGATGTACTGTCTATGTATAAAGCTTGAAGTGAATTGCTCAAAGCATGTAAGAAATACATGTCAAAAAATAAAAATAAAATCTGTCAAAAACAAAATGGCCACCAGTTGGCTATTATGAGTTGAATATACATTTCAAAGCGGCATGCATTAACTACCCATGATGATTGAGCCATCCACTGAGTTTCAAGTAAATCGGCCAACACATGCCTGAGATCTGGTTCTGGAAATTTAAAAATACCTGAATTTATTTTATTTTTACAACGAAAATGACCACCAGATGGCCATATTAGATGAATTAAATCACTGCATGTGCACATGTAACAGATAAGGTATTAATTATATAAGTATGAGTAAGGTTCAAAGAGAATTGGGTGTCAAAAATCTGTCCAGAAACACACACGCACAGACGAATAGAGACTAACATGTCATTTTTAAAATGAAATAAACAAATAAAGATGCTAAAGATGTGCTTCTTGTAGAGCAAATATGGTAAACAAGAAGAATCACAAGTGTCTGTAGAGGGCGCTGTCCAGGCACCACAGCTGGGAAAAATCACAGACGCACAATTGATACATAATGTGCCAGGGGATATTGAAAGCAAGTCAGGAGAAAATACTCATATAGTCACATGTACAATTGTGTACATATTATTTGTCCAGTAAATTAGTTATTGTGGAGTACAATTTTCTTTTATTAAAGTCAAACAAAATAATTTGTTTAACCAAATCTGCTAGTGTCTGTATTATCTTGGTGGATATCAAGACTAGAATAGTTCATTTTGGAAGATGGGGTGGTGGTACCAAGTGTTGCATCATAAGTAGGGGGTACCAAATCTAAGTAATATCCCTAAGCTCTTTAATTACTGTACCATCTAAAATATGCAAATAATCATACAAGTTGTATTATTTACCCATTTCTGTTTTATTTATTCATCAATTTATTGATCTATTAGATGTCCATCTCAATAGAACAACATAAGAGACAAATATTTGTGTGGTTTAATTATTTATAACGACTGATAACAAAAATCATATGTGATGTAACTATACATGTACTGTTAATAAAACTAATACAGCATTTATATACACATCATTAACAATTCCAAGGTGACGTTTAGACGCAAACACCTGATGCTTGAAACATGTGATTGAATGTTGTTGAAAAGATTTTATGCGTCAGCCGAGAATTCCCATTAAAGGTGTTCACAGCTTGATTGTAGGTGTTGAGTTAATGATGCGAGAAGTCAATCTGCATTGGTTGTAGAAATTGAATATTGGTACGCGCAGTCTAACCAATTTACATCATTGACAGGGGACCCCTGTATCTATTGTATCTATATCTAGTCTGAGCCAAATGAATTTTTTAAATCTCAATTTATTTGTAGGTCAAAAATACAATTTCCACTGAGATTCAGACAGAATGGTAATTTTCAAAATTGAGACATTGTTACGGTAACAGTGTTAGATGCAGCTACTGAATGGTATTGTTACTGTAACATGTCATATGTAATTACCGAATGGTATCGTTACTGTAACATGTTATATGTAATTACTAAATGGCATCGTTACTGTAACATGTTATATGTAATTACTGAACGGTATCAATACTGTAGCAGTGTAAGATGTAGTTACTGAATGGTATTGTTACTGTAACATGTTATGTGTAAATACTGAATGGTATCATTACTGTATTAGTGTTAGATGTAATTACTGAATGGTATCATTGCTGTAACATGTTATATGTAATTACTGAATGGTATCGTTACTGTAACATGTTATATGTAATTACTGAATGGTATCATTACTGTATTAGTGTTAGATGTAATTACTGAATGGTATCGTTACTGTAACATGTTATATGTAATTACCAAATGGTATCATTACTGTAACAGTGTTAGATGCAATTACTGAATGGTATCATTACTGTAACAATGTTGGATGCAATTACTGAATGATATTGTTATTGTAACAGTGTTAGATGCAATTACTGAATGGTATCGTTACTGTAACAGTGTTAGATGCAATTACTGAATGGTATCGTTACTGTAACAGTGTTAGATGCAATTACTGAATGGTATCGTTGCTGTAACAGTATTATATGTAATTAGTTAATTACTGAATGGTATCATTACTGTAACATGTTAGTTGTAGTTACTGAATTGTATCGTTACTGTAGCAGTGTTACATGTAGTTATTGAATGGTATCGTTACTGTAGCAGTGTTAGATGTAGTTATTGAATGGTATCGTTACTGTAGCAGTGTTATTAGATGCAACTACTGAATGGTATAATTACTGTAGCAGTGTTACATGTAGTTATTGAATGGTATCGTTACTGTATCAGTGTTAGATGCAATTACTGAATGGTATCATTACTGTAGCAGTGTTACATGTAGTTACTGAATGGTATCATTACTGTAGCAGTGTTAGATGCAATTACTGAATGGTATAATTACTGTAACAGTGTTATATGTAATTACTGAATGGTATCATTACTGTAACATGTTAGTTGTAGTTACTGAATTGTATCGTTACTGTAGCAGTGTTACATGTAGTTATTGAATGGTATCGTTACTGTAGCAGTGTTAGATGTAGTTATTGAATGGTATCGTTACTGTAGCAGTGTTAGATGCAATTACTGAATAGTATCGTTACTGTAGCAGTGTTACATGTAGTTACTGAATGGTATCTTTACTGTAGCAGTGTTAGATGCAATTACTGAATGGTATAATTACTGTAGCAGTGTTACATGTAGTTACTGAATGGTATCGTTACTGTAACATGTTAGTTGTAGTTACTGAATTGTATCGTTACTGTAGCAGTGTTACATGTAGTTACTGAATGGTATCATTACTGTAGCATGTTAGTTGTAGTTACTGAATTGTATCGTTACTGTAGCAGTGTTACATGTAGTTACTGAATGGTATCTTTACTGTAGCAGTGTTAGATGCAATTACTGAATGGTATAATTACTGTAGCAGTGTTACATATAGTTACTGAATGGGATCGTTACTGTACATGTAGTTACTGAATGGTATCATTACTGTAACATGTTAGTTATAGTTACTGAATTGTATCGTTACCGTAGCAGTGTTACATGTAGTTATTGAGTGGTATCGTTACTGTAGCAGTGTTAGATGCAATTACTGAATGGTATAATTACTGTAGCAGTGTTACATGTAGTTACTGAATGGTATTGTTACTGTAGCAGTGTTAGATGCAATTACTGAATGGTGTCATTACT